TTCGTTCTTGTTTTGTTTTCTTCTCTTAATAATTATTGTTGTTATTCCAATATTATTCTTCTAATCCTCTATAATTTCTTCCCCAATATATATTTATGTAGTTACGAAGTATTATTTATGTTGATGCGCCTCAAAATTTCTTGCTTATGTTGATGCGCCTCAAAATTTCTTGCTTTTATGCATTCTTCGCTGTCACGGTAGAAGAATCTTTGGCAATGGGGCTATTTAGCCCTAGCAAGCTAGGGTGTGCTCCTGCGATACAAATCTTGGCGTTGTGAGCTTTGATTGATCTGCAATGGAGGGGGGTTCAGAAGGAGAGCACTAATGCATACATGGCACTAATGTTGGGCTAGAATAGTAGAAGAAACCGGCCGCCGGAGTCCTGTTTGTTTTTTGTTTTGTTTTTCTTTTTTTAATAATTAATTATTAAAATTTATTTTTTTAAAAATAATTAATTTTGGATGACCTGTTGACCTGTTGGAAACCTTCAAATTGAAAGAATTGTTTGAAATTTGTTAGTTTAGGGACCTAATTGTTGGTTTTTTAGGTTCAGTGGCCTAATTGCATTACTGTGTGCAGTTCGATGGCCTAATTTTTATTTGCTCTCCCTTATGTCCCGTATTTGGTTTCAACCATACCTATACAATTATTTTATTGACAATTATAATCAATCTTGACTATATTATCTTGCATTTGTAAACTTAAAATTACCTATTTAAATACGCAAATTCAACATTCAATTATTTATGCATGAACAATTCTAATATAATTCTGCCTTGATATACTTTAAAGTACTTATTAAAAAAAACATTGGGCATTATCCCAATCGGACAATGCACGTAAAAAGCTAGTAATATTATAAAATGTGTAATTCATTAGTTGAGACAAAACATTTTTTTTCTGTAAAAAGAAATTTATATTCTGTGTAACATTTTTTCAATTTAATATTAGACTTAGACGTTACGTCTCTTAAGAAAGAACATATTTTCCAATTAATTAAATAGGTAATTGATACAACTTTTGGCAGTTGATGAGAGGCAACTACAATAACACCTCAACAAATTGATTGATACTCAAATGCTCATGTAGCATTACACCAGGCTGACTCATTTTTATGTCATTTTACTGCTTTAAGTACTTTACATTTTGTCCCCATGTATTTGGAAGCTGCCTGAAGGCTATGCTCATAAATACTAGTAAATTGTTAAATATTTCTTTCAAGAAAATTGCTACTATAAATATTTCTTTAAAATGCAGAATATTCATTTAGAAATCCTTGTCAACGTTTTTCTCAAAATTACATTATTATGAGTGATAGAGAATATCCTTTATCCGTATGCTTATATATGTGCTCGATATATATACAGGGGACCGAGAAGTGCATCTCCCGAGCCTAGTCAAAATAAAGTCCTGTGAGATTATTTGAAATTGCCCCGTGCTTCAATTCGCACACTGAATAGGATTTCCGAGCTCATATGATCAGAAAGGTTATCCCAAGCACTGAGTCTAGCATTAAAAGATAAACACAACCCTATCGTATCACCCCCATCATGTCATAATAATTGCCCCGTGCTTTGCACACTGAATAGGATTCCCGAGCTCATATGATCGGAAAGGTTACGTTATCCCAAGCATTGAGTCTAGCATTAAGAGATAAACACAACCTTATCATATCACCCCCATCATGTCATAATAATACAAATGTAATAAGGACATGTAGCACACGTGTTGAACACTCGACATGTGTCCCCTCCAACCCTCTATATAAAGCACACTTATTGCTTGGGGAGGGGGGAAGATATAAGATAACTTAGCATCCTCTGACAAAGTAACATACTCAATTACCCGATTACAACTCACATCAATGAGGATAATTGTATAACCCTTACCGAAACAACACAAGGAGTCAATACCACATCCACTGAAACTCAAAACCACAACCTCCCGTATGGGAGAGCAACTAAGTATTACTAGACCGCAAGTTCATTGGCAACCCCTTATTTAAGTGTTAAGAATCTTGAAATCAGAACTCTTACTAATAATATAGAATATATTATATACACACCTTTATGAGTAAATTAAAGAAAAGTTAGTGAGTTATGAAACTTAATAATTCCTCAAAAATATAACGAAAAGTGCAATTGAAAATATGAAGCAGTGATTAAATATATTTGTCTTATTCGAATAAATAGAGCAAATTGAGAGACAAATTGTGCGCTAAAAGAAGTTGACATCTATAGACTTTTTCCACGAGATTGAGATGCGATCTTTCGTAGAAAAAGGAAGTTGAGGTTGATGATTTGATTATCTTTAACCAGGCCACCAAGCATGCTTATAAACCCAAAATACACAACTTGAGAAAAAGACTCCGACGAAGACTATGTCTTGATTATTATTAGAGTTAATTCCACCAGAGCCATTATCTTTGGTGGTAAATTTAAATTTAGTCCCAGATTATCTTTTTGACATTTAATATCCCTAGACTATTATTTTTTGGATACATTTAGTTCTTTTTTAAACTTTTTCTATTTTTAGTAAGGACATTTTTGTCTCTTCATATTTTTCTAGTTTCAACCGGTTTAATTGATTTAGGACTTTACTAAAAATCGATTGAAAAATATTATTACTAAAAAATCAGAGGTTACCTAAAGTTATAAATCAATTAAATCGGTTGAAACGGGGAAAATAATAAAAGAAAAATATGAATAGACAAAAATATCCTTACTAAAAATAGGAAAAGTGATGAGAACGACTAAAAGTGTCCAAAAAATAATAGTCTAGAGATGTTAAATGGAAAAAACGATAGTTTAAGACTAAATTTAGAATTGCCACCAAAGACAAGCGACCTCTGATGGAATTAACTCTTATTATTACTATTACTATGAGAAAAGGACGCATGCAAGACTAGTTCACCTTATAAGATAGATCGATGAAATATTTTAAAGAAACGTATACTATATTTAATAATGTACTTTTAAATAATACGCCTTCAATACATTACAAATGTACTTTATGCCAATAGTTTACCTTACAAGGTGAATCATGTTCCATGTTATAATGATTGTGTTACGTTGGCGAATAGTAGACTAGAAAAAGGAGAAATTGCACAGTTGATCCTTCAATTATTAGCAATTATATGTAATATAGTCCCTGATTTCCAATTTGATCAGATGAGATTCGTTCCCTCAATTATTTCAATTGTAGGTAATTTAATCCTTCCCGACAGGAATTACAGCTACTGCATGTCGTCCGAGAAGCTGCTGCTGATTGCCGACAGGAATTGATTGCGGTTTTTCTCCTGTTGTCGTGGTGGTTTGCTGCTTCTATATATGTTCAAATTTCTTCCTAGCAATTAAGTTTGTCCATCTTTATTTTAAGCTTGAATTAAATTGTCTCTAATTATTGTTGGGTATCATTAGAGAATTTTGGTTTGTTTAATTTCGTGCTTGTTCATGAGTATCTGGTGTTTAAATTTGCTGATGATAGCAGGTTAAATGCCTAGTTAAGGTTGGTGAAGGGGGCTGCGACCTCTACGATTCAAGGGATTTATTCTGTTAGAGAGGCCGAAGCCATTGGGGCTCGTGAAGCTTTGAGTTGGATCAAGAACAAAGGATGGTCCCAAGTTGTGCTTGAAACTGATGCGCAGGTGGTGACAAATGCTGTGGTAGCAGATCAGAACTTCACCCCGTTTGGAATGATCATTGCTGAGGTTCGTGCGCTTTTGGAGCATCTGCCTTTGGTTCGGTTTGTGTTTACAAAGAGGAATGCAAATGTCTCAGCTCATCTGTTAGCCAAGCATGCATTGTGTAATTCTGGGGAGGGGGTGATTGAATATTTTGATTTTATTCCCTATTTTCTTTCATCATCTGTTTTAGCAGACTTGTCTGGTTTGAGAAATTAATATATATTGATCTTTTGTTTTCAAAAAAAAAAAGGTTGGGGGTTTAACTAAATGAGTGAATGATGAATGATGAATGTGTTTTTATAAATCATTTTACATGTAATCCATTAACACAATTCACTATGGACTAAACCAATTAACTATCATCCATCATCTATTACCTAATTGTCCAACACCGTACCCATATAAATTAGTTGTAATTTAACTTATTAAATTAATATTAAGATAGTATTTTGGATTTAAGAGTTTCATGCTAATTTAATACAAAATACGTAGTATTATTTATCAAGCATTAGTTTAGATGTTTGACTAATTCAACCTTTTAAAATAAAGTTAAAAAAAAATCATCAAAAATTGTAAATTTGTCATTGACTGAACACCATAATTAATTATTAATATATACTAATAGTTATTATTATTATTATTTTGTATTGTTACTTCAAATCCGCTTTGTTATGTATATATTTTTTTGAAAGATATCATTCTTTTCAAAAGGTTGAACCCTAATCCTAAGGCCCCCAACATCTCGGCCCGACAGAGCATATGAGAGGATTTAAATTATGGTAACTCAGTTGAACATTAACTATATAGGCTAGACCTTTGCTTACTACGTACAAGTAGCCCAGGTTTTTGAGAGGTTGCTCCCACACTGCCGCTGGTGAGACTCGATCCCTAGTCATTCTTTTCAAACTTCACCTCTATGACTAGTTGAGCTGCTCATGCAGACTTTTTGAAAGATATCATGACCTCTCATATGAGAGAATCACTACATGTGAGAGCATACAGTACTTGTCGCTTTGTTATGTTTATATGATTATTAATAATTTATTTTTTGCTTATGCGGTGTGGTGTTTCTCGATGACAAAGAATGTGTGGAGTAGCATTATAATCCAAATACATTCAATGTAAGTGGGCGCACCACTATTGACTAGACTATGAACATGCAATAAATATTATGTACTATGTGACATTTTTGAAAAATCTGTATGTATGTGGTGTTTAGTTAGTGAAACATCATACTATGTGTTATGCATCCACATCAAATTAATTTTTCTCTGGCGAAATCCTTACGTTGTATATGCATGGACTTGTCGTTAACAGAACAGGCCATGTTGTTGCTCTTCATTTGGGGCGTCAAGGCTTACAAGGTGAAATCAGCCCTTCCTTGCTTCATTTACCGTTTCTCTATTTCTTGGATCTTAGTTTCAATGATTTTGATAGAATTCCGAGTTTCATTGGCTCTCTCCACAACTTGGTCTATCTTAATCTTTCTTGTAATCATCTGTTTGGAAATGTTCCTCCTCATCTGGGAAATATTTCCACTTTGAAATATCTTGACATTGGCAACAACTACTTTGTTGGTAATCAAGATTTAAAAGTAGTTGACACCTTGGAATGGATTTCTCATCTTTCTTCCTTGGAGTATCTCAATATGGATGAGGTAGACCTTCATTCTGTTTCAGATTGGCTTCAATCAATTTCAAAGCTTTCTTTGCTGAGAACACTAAGCCTATCTTCCTGCTACCTTCCAAGTCCCTCATCATCACTTTTGCACATCAACTCTTCTAGTTTCCTACAACACTTGTCTTTACAGTATGGAAATATAGCAACTTTTCCCCTACTGAATTTCTGGCTAAACCAAAGCTACTTCCTTCAATATCTGGACCTTTCCGGTAATGTTTTGGTAGGTGGCGATAAGGACATCAAATTCTTGAGGCATCTTGACAAGTTGAAAATTCTAGATTTATCGTCCAACTCTTTTTCTTTCAACTTTTCACAACTTATTTTAAGTTGTGAAAAATTGATAGAGATTTTGAGATTGAATGATAACCAAATTGTGGGATCACTGGATGATACCAGAGAGTTTAATTCCATAAGAGAATTGAAATTGGAGAACAATCAACTTTCTGGTTCACTACCTGACATGTCAACAATGTTGTCCCTAGAAATTTTGGCAATTGGCAAGAATCAGTTCCATGGAAACTTAATGGGAAGTAACATGGGCCACCTCTCTAATCTCAAATTTCTAGATGTTTCTTCAAATTCTTTGGATGGAGCCATATCTGAAATCAGCTTCTCTAATTTTAGCAAATTGGATGAGCTCGTCCTGTCTGATAACTCTTTTACAGTGAATTTAGGCACCCACTGGATTCCCCCATTTCAGTTAAGTGTTCTAGGCCTCAGATCTTGTGAGTTGGGTCCCAAATTTCCTAATTGGCTACACACACAGACAAATCTATTAACTCTTGATATCTCAAATAATGGAATTTCAGATCTCATTCCTCAGTGGATCACCAACCTATCCAACTTAGGTTATTTGAGTGCTTCTGAAAACAAAATTCGTGGAAAATTACCAGACATATCATCAACTTTGAATCTAGTAGTAGACTTTAGCAGCAATTTGCTAGAAGGTCCTATACCAAAAAGTTATTCTGGAGTATCAACACTGATCCTTAAGAAAAACAAGCTTTCTGGAACCATTTCAGTTCTGTGTACAAATATTTCTATATGGCGTTATCAACTTGACCTTTCAAACAATTTCTTTACCGAGAAGATTCCTGAATGTTTGGGGAAAGTTAAGGAATTGTATAGTTTAAACTTGGCAAATAATAACTTCTTTGGTGAAATCCCCTTATCCATAGGATACTCGAATACAATGGAATCACTACATTTGAGAAACAATAGGTTTTATGGGGAATTTCCTGTGTCTCTACAAAATTGCACTTCATTGGTTGTTTTGGATCTTGGAAATAATTTTTTAACTGGGGGTATTCCTGCATTGATAGGGGAAAGCTTAAAGAGTTGAAGATCCTTTGCCTGGATTCAAATGAACTAAAAGGATCAATCCCAATTAATATCTGCCAACTTCAATCCATTCAAATAATGGATTTGTCTTCGAACCATTTATCTGGTTCCATTCCAACTTGCTTCAATTCATTAATGACTAAATATGATGAGTGGATGCCAGAGTCGGAAGTTTTGATGGAATATTCTATCGAAGAAGTTATCATTGATTATGAATGGCTTATGTGGAAGGGTATAGAGTTGGAGTATGGTAAGAACCTCAAATTCATGAAACTCATTGATCTCTCAAGCAATAAATTGGTTGGAGAAATCCCAAATGAGCTAACTGATTTGCATATGCTTAATTCACTCAACCTGTCAAGAAACAAACTGACCGGATCCATCCCAAACAAGATTGGTGAGATGAGGTCGCTAGAGAGTGTCGACCTGTCAAACAATCAACTTTCTGGAGCAATACCACCGAGCCTTGCTAGTATATCATTTCTTGCTCACTTGGACTTGTCGAACAACAATTTGTCTGGTTGTATTCCACTCGGCACTCAGTTGCAAGGATTCACTGAGGCTTATGAGGGAAATTCAAAGCTACGAGGGCCTCCACTTCCAACAAAGTGTCATAGAGATGAACCTGGAAATGCTCCACAACAAGGGGGAATTGATGAAGGATGGATTATTTGGGACTTTGACTTTTTTGTGAGTTTGACACTTGGATTCATTGTTAGTTTTTGGGGAGTATGTGGAACATTAATACTCAAGTCTTCTTGGCGACATGCGTATTTCCAATTTTTAGAAGTCAAAAAAGAGAAGATTTGCACTGCCATTGTGGTCCTTGGAGCCAAATTGAAGAGAGGCATGAGAGCTAACTAGCTCGATTGAAGTAAAAGGTAATATAATTAAGATTCTAAAATTTTCATTTGAAATTACAATATTTTTTCGTTTAGCAATAAAGATTAATAAATAAATGGCAATGCATTAAAACATGATCAAATCATCTTCTTGAGCTGCAGGAAGTACGAAGGCAGCCATTGGAGTACCTCCGGTCCATCCATGTCATTCTAAATAAAGTTGAATCATGTGTATTTGTGTGTTTGTATTCATATTTCAAGTCATGTAATTCTATTTTGTTCTGTATTGTGTCATTGTGTGTATTGAGGTTCTACTATATATACATCATCATACCATAGCCTATTTTGAATGGTGGACTATAAAAATAAAGTTCATTTTAAATATATCCAAGATTCAATTTTAATATTAATTTTTTATATGCTGAAAGTTTATTTTTAAGTATACTTAAAAGTTTCCACATACAAATGAAGCCTAAAAAACTTAAGCCCAATTACTCTAGAAACGCAAATTATGCTATGGACTCGTGTCCACTATGCATTGTGGACACGAGTCCAAAACGCCGTCGTTTTAGGGGAAAACGGCGGTATTCTAAATTTTTAAAAAAACTTGCGTTTGTTAAGCCGTTAACGGCGTTATTGATTGATTTGGCAGAGGATTTCTATTCTTTCCTTCTTTCGTTTTGGCAAGTTGAGATTGCAATTCATTCTACCCATCGCAATCTCAGAGCGTCGCAAGTTCCATATATTCTTTCCTTTCGTTTTTTTGGTTGTTTGTTGATCGTTTGTATTTGAATAACGAGTTATTTGATGGATGATGCGAGAAATCAGAGCGAATTGAATGCCGATCGATTTTCTATGATGGAGGTTCGAGGTATTTTGCGATTTTTGATATACTTGATATTTTTCTGTGTTTTGAGATCGATTAGGTCAAAAACTGAATTCGATTGTATATTTGTGTGCGTTAATGCGATCAAATTTGGTGTCAGTGTATGTTTCTTTTGAATTTGTGATTGATGTTGATTGCGTAGAATTGTGAGATTTTGGTGAGGGTTTGCTGGTGATTGCAATCAATGTATGCGATTTTGGGTAGAATTTACAGGTGATTTCAGTGTTTGGAGTGTTTACTCTGATCATAAATCTTTGCACTTTGCATGTGTCATAATATTGCAACTGTACATACATAATGCTTGACCTGTACATTCATACCGTGTGAACTATATATTCATAACAGTTTTTGATACTCTGTAGCTATTTGTAAAGTGAATGTCAGTAAGTTGCATGTTATATGTTCAACAATTTTACAGTTGTATGTTTATATATTTGATTGATTTGTGTATACTGTTTATGTATTTACAGTGAACGAAGCTTTGGTGGATGATTAATTAAGTACAGCTCAAGGAGATTTAAACATTGACAGATCTTCCTCGATTCCAGGTTTTTAATAGTGTTTAATGTCAATCAGATTGCTTTTGATTCTATTATTATAGATAAAGTTTTAGTATATATATATATATATATATATATATATATATATATATATATATATATATATTTTTTTTTTTTTTTTTTTTTGGTGTTTTATTGCAATCAGTGAATGAAGATTTGTTGGGTGATTCATTAAGTACAGATCAAGGAGATGTAAACATTGATGGATCTTCTTCTATTCCAGGTTTTTTACCAGTGTTTACTCTTATTTAGAATGTTTTTATTCAATAAGTATAGATCAAGTATGGTGATTTGTGATGGTTTTTATTGTTATATTGATGTTCTTGACCATATATGTATTGTGATTATGTGAATATAGTTTGATGAAGTTATGAATATACACTATGAAATTATGAGTATGTAGGGTGAAATTATGAATGAACAGATATGTAGTTTTGAATATACAGTCAAGCAATTATGAATGTACAGTTTTATAGTTATGATTATACACTATGGAGTTATGAGTTTGTAGGGTGAAATTGTGAATGAACAGATATGTAGTTTTGAAAGCAGTTATGAATGTACAGTTTTATAGCTATGAATATACAACTATGGAGTTATGAGTTTATATTCATAATGTTCAGTGAATGATATATATTTTTTTATCATTTGATGGAAAATCCGTTCCTATGTAGAGCATGGCTGGATTTATTCGGCATTCCCCTCCCCCCCCCCCCCCTCTACATTGGAATTATATCTCCATCAAATGTTATTATTTGTTATGAATGAGGTTATATATTTTGTAATTGCAGTTGATGAAGATTTGGTTGGTGTTGTAGTAAGTAATGGTGATGAAGCTTTTGAATTATATAATGAACATGCATATAGAGTTGGTTTTAGTGTGAGGAAGGGTAAACAACGTTACAAGGCATCTACCAAGACAATTCAAATGAAGAGGTTTTACTGTTCTAAGGCTGGTTTTAAGTGTAAGGCAGATGGTGGTGTTAAGCTTTACTCAAAAATTGATACAAGGACAGGGTGTGGTGCATTTGTTCAGTTTGATGTGGGTGGAGATGGATTGTAGACAGTTGCAAAACATATGAAGGTGCACAACCATGAGCTATGCGATTTAGACAAGAGTCATCTACTTCGTTCACATAGGAGAGTGGGAAGTAACCAACTTTCATGCTTAAAAGACTTGAAGCAGAGTGGAGTTGGGGTGGCAGGGGGTATTAGGTTTTTGAAACACCAATCAGGCGGGTCTCCATTGGTTGGTTTTACTAGTCGCGATGCTTATAATTCGTTGGCTTTTGATACAGTTAAGAGTTTGGATGGAACTGATTCAAATTCGTTGAATGAAATATTTAGGAGGAGGCAGTCTAATGAGTCTGACTTTTTTTTTTTATTTTGAAGTTGATTCTGACTCAAGACTGTGTAATTTTTTTTGGAGGGATGGTCAAATGAGACGGGATTATGAATTATTTGGAGATTTGTTAGTGCATGATACAACATATCGCACTAACAAATATGATATTATATGTGGGCCGTTTGTAGGGATGAATCATCATTGTATGAATGTAATGTTTGGTTGTGGGTTTTTGAAGAATGAGAGGATCGAATCCTTTGTGTGGTTATTTAAAGCCTTTTTAAGATCTATGGATGGCAAGTGTCCACAATCGATTATGACGGATCAATGTGCAGCCATGGCTGCTGCTATTTCCATAGTTTTTCCAACATCACGCCATCGTCTTTGCATATGGCATATTGGTGAGAATTCGAAGAAGCATATCAAGACGTTAAGGAACAATAAGGAGTTCATGGATATCTTCAACTGCTTGCTGAAATACACAGACACAGAAGCTGAATTTGAATTCTATTGGACTAGGTATGTTTCTGTTTATGGGTTTTTGTTTATGAATATACAGTTTATACGTTATGAAGTTACAGTATAGCAGTTATGAATATACAGTTTAGCTAGTATATTTGCAAATAGGAATATATGCCATGGATATGAAATATATGCAAGCAGGAATCTGCATTATTTGAATTATGAATATACAGAACATTAGTTATGAATATACAGTATAGCTGTTATGAACCTACATTATATTAACTATGGATATAAAACTTTTGCAAGTAGGAATTTCCATTATATGAATTATGAATATACAGTACAGAAGTTATGAATATACAGTTTAGCTATTATGAACCTACAATATACCAATTATAAATATACAATATTTGCAATTATGAATCTGCATTCAATGAATTATGAATATACAGTATATTAATTATGAATCTACAGTTAAGTAAAAATGAGTGTACAATACATAATTTGCAGGATGGTGATTGATTTTAAGTGTCACAAGAATACATGGCTAGGGAAGCTTTATGACTGTAGGGAGAAGTGGTGTCCAGCTTTCAATAAGGATTATTTTTCTGGGGGTATTCTATCTTCACAAAGGAGTGAAACAACTAACCATTCAATTTCTAGAAGGTTGTCTAAGACTGCTGGTTTGTGTGATTTCTACTCATCGTTTGTCAGTGTTATTTCTGAGTGGAGAAGTAAAGAAAATGGTGAAGACTTTCGATGTGCTCAAGGTGTACCTGCGATGTTGATTGACAATGTGAAACTTCTTTCACATGCCCGAGAGGTGTATACAATTGAAATCTATTTTCTGTTTGAGGAACAGTTAATGAAAGGTAGTGCGTGTCACCAAGAGGTTGTGTTTAATGATGGGTGTCAATATAAGTATCATGTGTGGCGACCGGATGTAGATATTATTAGGCATGAAGTTAGTTTTAAGCCAATTAATATTGATATTTCTTGCAGTTGCAAATTGTTTTCCGAAATGGGAATCTTGTGTTGTCATTGTATACGCATACTTGATATAAATTGTGTTGCTAGTATTCCGGACAAGTACATTATGAAAAGATGGACCAAAAAGGTTGCAGCTGTTAGGAATGCGAACTTTGATTCACTGTTTTATAATGTTGGTATTCCTCCTTCAATTTGGGTTGTTGAGATTAGTAAGAAGTTTCAAAAATTGGTTGTTTCAAGTCAAGACAATAGTGTAGCTAGACAGTTTTGCGATGAAGCTGTTGAGAATGCAAAGAAATTGATTGAAGCTGAGAATGGGAAAATGAATACTGAAGGGTGTGGTGATTCATCTTCAAATGGTATTGTTCAAGATCCTTCAAGCCGGAGATTGAAAGGTGTGCCTAATAAAAGGATGAGTAGTATTATTGCAAAGAAGTACACTATAGCAAGGGGAAGAAGGAGTGCTGCAAACAAGGTTGCTTCAAATTTAAAGGGTCCCGTTCAATCACTGGTTTTGGAAAATATATCTGAGATTGCTGGTGATGGATATCTTGTACATCCAACTTCTAGTAGTTCGCAGTTTGTTCGGTTTAATAAGAGTTTAGGTGAGAATGTAGTTGCAGAATGAGATTGTGACATGTCAGTTGGTTAGATTTGAACTTTATATTCACAACTTTTATATATACATTTACAAGTTCTGCAGTATATATTCTTACTACTTGTTCTTTATTTTTTTAAAGAGGTTTAAACAACTATGTTGACAGTGTACATTCATAATTATAATAGTGTACATTCATAACCCCAAAACTGTACATTCATAACTCATTAACTGTACATCCATAATGCGATAAGTGTACATTCATAATACTTGTTCTTTATTTTTTCATGTTTACATTTAGAAGTTTTTTTTTATATATATTATTAATATTTAATTATTATGTGTAGTAAGAGGTTCAAACATCAAAGTTGAAAATAATAAGTTTTACCACTATATATTTATAATTGTAAGGTCATAATGTCAATGCTATGTGTTTAAAATTCCAAAGCTGTGTATTCATAACCACATGATTGTACATCCATAATGCCATATACGTACATTCATAATCCGAATACTGTACGTTCATAATCTCATAATTGTGCATTTATAATGGCATAAATGTATAAACATAATCTTATAACACTATCCCTAACGTACTGCTGCTTATATATATAGTTGATAATTGCAGTAGTCGTAGAGCATACAACAAAACTTACACATAATATTGCTAAATCAATTGTCTTGAATCCAATTAAAGTTGATGATGAGGATTAGTGGTTCTTATCTTCAGTGGCTTCTGTTCCTTTTGATTATTCAATATTCAAATGGCTGCTTTGAGAATGAGAGAAATGCACTTCTAAGCTTCAAACACAGCATTACTTTTGACGCATTCAACTCTCTTTCCTCGTGGGGAGGCAGTAGAGATGATGATGACTGCTGCAAATGGAAAGGAATTGGCTGCGATAACACAACAGGCCATGTTGTTGCTCTACATTTGGGGAGTCAAGACTTACAAGGTGAAATCAGCCCTTCCTTGCTTCATTTACCGTTTCTCAATTTCTTGGATCTTAGTTTCAATGAATTTGATACAATTCCGAGTTTCATTGGCTCTCTCAACAACTCGGTCCATCTTGATTTTTCTCATAATACTTATTTGTTCGGGAATGTCGTCCCTCCTCATTTGGGAAATATTTCCACTTTGAAATATCTTCACCTTGGCAACAGTCTTGAATTAAAAGTAGTTGACACCTTGGAATGGATTTCTCATCTTTCTTCCTTGGAGTATCTCAATATGGATTCGGTAGACCTTCATTCTGTTTCAGATTGGCTTCAATCAATTTCAAAGCTTTCTTTGCTGAGAACACTAAGCCTATCTTCCTGCAGCCTTCCAAGTCCCCCATCATCACTTTTGCACATCAACTCTTCTAGCTTCCTACAACACTTGTCTTTACAGTATGGAAATATAGCAACTTTTCCCCTACTGAATTTATGGCTAAACCAAAGCTACTTCCTTCAATATCTGGACCTTTCCGGTAATGTTTTGGTAGGTGGCGATAAGGACATCAAATTCTTGAGGCATCTTGACAAGTTGAAAATTCTAGATTTATCGTCCAACTCTTTTTCTTTCAACTTTTCACAACTTATTTTAAGTTGTGAAAAATTGATAGAGATTTTGAGATTGAATGATAACAAAATTGTGGGATCACTGGATGATACCATAGAGTTTAATTCCATAAGAGAATTGAAATTGGAGAACAATCAACTTTCTGGTTCACTACCTGACATGTCAACAATGTTGTCCTTACAAATTTTGGCAATTGGCAATAATCACTTCCATGGAAACTTAATGGGAAGTAACATCGGCCACCTCTCCAATCTCAAATTTCTAGATGTTTCTTCAAATTCTTTGAATGGAGCCATATCTGAAATCAGCTTCTCTAATTTTAGCAAATTGGATGTGCTCATCCTGTCTGATAACTCTTTGACACTGAATTTAGACACCCACTGGATTCCCCCATTTCAGTTAAGAGGTCTAGGCCTCAGATCTTGTGAGTTGGGTCCCAAATTTCCTAATTGGCTCCACACACAGACAAAACTAGATACACTTGATGTCTCAAATAATGGAATTTCAGATCTCTTTCCTCAATGGATCACCAACCTATCCAACTTACGTTATTTGATTGCTTCTCAAAACAGAATTCGTGGAAAATTACCAAACATACCATCAACTTTCAATCTATTAGTAGACTTTAGCAACAATTTGCTAGAAGGTCCTATACCAAACAATTATTCAGGATTATTTACACTGAACCTTTCCAAAAATAAGCTTTCTGGAACCATTTCATTTCTGTGTACAAATATTTCTGTATGGCTTTGTCAACTTGACCTTTCAAACAATTTCTTTACCGAGAAAATTCCTGAATGTTTGGGGAAATTTAAGTACTTGTATAGTTTAAACTTGGCAAATAATAACTTCTTTGGTGAAATCCCCTTATCCATAGGACACTCGGATACAATGGAATCACTACATTTGAGAAACAATAGGTTTTATGGGGAATTTCCTGTGTCTCTACAAAATTGCACTTCATTGCTGGTTTTGGATCTTGGAAATAATTATTTAACTGGGGGTATTCCTGCATCGATAGGAGAAAGCTTAAAAGAGTTGAAGATCCTTTGCCTGGATTCAAATGAACTAAAAGGATCAATCCCAATTAATATCTGCCAACTTCAATCCATTCAAATAATGGATTTGTCTTCGAACCATTTATCTGGTTCCATTCCAACTTGCTTCAATTCATTAATGACTAAATATGATGAATGGATGCCAAGTATGGAGACCTATGGGATTGTTGACTCTCTCGAAGAAGTTTTCTTTGATTATGAATGGCTTATGTGGAAGGGTATAGAGGTGGAGTAGGTTAAGAACCTCAAATTCATGAAGCTCATTGATCTCTCAAGCAATAAATTGGTTGGAGAAATCCCAGTTGAGATAATTGATTTGCATATGCTTAATTCCCTAAACTTGTCAAGAAACAAGCTGACCGGATTCATCCCAGACAAGATTGGTGAGATGAGGTCGCTAGAGAGTCTCGACCTGTCAAACAATCAACTTTCTGGAGCAATACCACCGAGCCTTGCTAGTATATCATTTCTTGCTCACTTGGACTTGTCGAACAACAATTTGTCTGGTTGTATTCCACTCGGCACTCAGTTGCAAGGATTCAGTGAGGCTTATCAGGGAAATTCAAAGCTACGAGGGCCTCCACTTCCAACAAACTGTCATAGAGATGAACCTAGAAATGCTCCACAACAAGGGGGAATTGATGAAATTGAAGAAGATGAAGGATGGATAATTTGGGGCTTTGACTTCTTTGTGAGTTTGATACTTGGATTCATTCTTGGTTTTTGGGGAGTATGCGGAACCTTAATACTCAAGCGTTCTTGGAGACATGCATACTTCCAATTTTTAGAAGACAAAAAAGAAAAGCTTTGCACTGCCATTGTAATCTATGGAGCCAAATTGAAGAGAGGCATGGGAGTTAGCTAGATTGAAGTAAAAGGTAATATATTTAAGATAGATTCTAAAATTTTCATTTGAAATTACAATATATTTTCGTTTAGTAATAAAGATTAATAAATATATGGTCATGCATACCATGAAAACAGGATCAACTCATCTTCTTGAGCTGCAGGAAGTACGAATGAAGGCCATTGGAGTACCTCCGATCCATGTCATTCTAAATAAAGTTCAATCATGTGCATGTATTTGTGTGTTTGTATTCATATTTCAAGTCATGTAATTCTATTTTGTTCTATATTGTGTGTATTGAGGTTCTACAATTATTATATCATAGTCTACCTTGTAAGGTGGACTATTGAAATAAAGTTCATTTTAAATATATCGAAGTTTCATTTTTAATATATTTAATAATTACTTTTTTCTGTGCGAAAATTAAAGTTGTTTTTTTAAGTATACTACCAAAGAATGAATATTTAATAAATTAAAAATTAAATTTTAATATATTAAAAATGAACTTGATGTAAGTGGTCCACCTTGTATCATGGTCCATAATATAATTCGTCAAGTTTCAATACTAAATATCATTTCTTAAAAATTCAGGTTGTTTCCAACAACATTGGAATATGGGCCAAAGCCCCGGGATGTTAATGAATTTTACTAGTCGCCACACAATTGGCATCCCGCATGAGAAGCGGGACTAGCCCAGCCGGAGGATCATGCAGAACCGTCGTTCCCCACGTAGAAGATTGACCCAAGTTGGCGAGATAATCCGCACACTGGTTCCCTTCCCGAAGGACGTGAGTGAGAGAGAAATTATTGAAACTGTTGAGCAGGTTCTTGCAATCAAGAATAAGAGAATCTTCCACCATTGAAAGGACCAGCTTCATTTTGGAGCACTTGAATCACAGCCGTTGAATCAGATTCTCTTCAATATTGTCAAAGCCGTACTGTTTTGCAATGCGAAGTCCTTTCCGAAATCCCCAAAGCTCCACGACAAAGCTGTTAGTGATCCCAATTTTAGTAGTGAAGCCCATCACCCAAACCCCATTGTTATCACGAAGAAGGCATCCAGCGCTAGCCATGTTAGAGGCTGATTTTTTAGCCCCATCCGAGTTGAGTTTTATCCGACCGGCGAGTGGGGGAGTCCAGTGCACCCAGACTTGCCTAGCATGCACCATGCCATTGTGTTTAAAGAGAGCTTGGAAGTCTTCAAACTCGCTCGTACTGGCTTTCCTGACGTCATAACCCAATTGTTACTGAAAACCACCTCATTCCTAGCTTTCCAAATATTCCATAAGATGTGGGGGAAGAGGAGGTGCCAACGGTCATTCCTGGAGCCCTGCATTTTGCCGCTGCAAGCTTCTTCGATCCACAGAGAGAGAGGGAGGTGGTTGTTGATGACAAAGGCTGGAGGAGGAGAAGATCTGTACCAGCAGTCATTTGCCAACCTACAATGTCTGAGAAGGTGATCCAGCGACTCTTCTTCCATGCCACATCTTGGACAGGAAGTATCCATCGTGAGGCCCCTCTTCACCTGTTCTGCATTAACCAGAAGCCCATTGTTGATAATTCTCCAAAGAAACAACCGCACCCGTTCTTTGCACTTGAGACTCCAGATCCACTCATAGTCCAGGAGTTGTCACCGGTACCTGAAAGAAAAGAGAAAGCCGAACTAACCGTGATCATACCTGAGTTTGAATGGGGCCAAAAAGGTCTGTCAGCCTTACTCGTAATCGGAATGGGAATTGCACGGATTTGGTGTATGATATTGTCTGTTAAGAGTGAATCTAGAGCTCCGACGTTCCAGGTCCCATTGTCTTGCATCACGTCCCTGACTTTCAGGTTGGCCGACATTAACGGAGCTGAGGGTGAAGTGATCTCAGCCAGAGGAGAATCCCCTACCCATCTATCGTGCCAAAAGTTTATGGAAGCACCTATACCAACTCTCCACCGAAGACCCTTACTAAGAATGTTTTTACCTTTCATAATGCTACGCCAGCCCCAAGAGCTGTTGGCAGTGGCGGTCATGAAAAGAAAATCTCCATTTTTAACGTATTTTTCCTTCATGATCTTGACCCAAAGTTTGTCCGAATAGGAAAGGACATGCCCGGCCATCTTGGTAAGGAAAGCCATATTAAAATCTTGTGCTTTTCTGAGACCAAGGCCACCTTGAAACTTAGGTTTACAAATATCGTTCCAGCTAACCGTGTGGATTTTTTTCGTGTCCTCCGAGTGACCCCAAAGAAAGTTCCTGCAAATCTTATCAATGAGTTTGCAAGTACTTACCGGAAGCGCCATGGATTGCATTGTGTAAGTTGGGATGGTCGCCAACGAGGCTTGGACCAAGGTCTTTCTACCCGCCATGCTGAGAGCACTTGCTTTCCAATTGGCGAGTTTGCGGCGCATCTTGTCAATGATAGATGAGAAGGTATCTTTTGAGATCCTTTTATGGAGAATTGGAATGCCAAGATAAGTCCCTAGATGGGACGTGACCGGAATGCCCATCATATCTCCAATTCTTTCTTTTAACCCTGTGACAATGTTAGGAGAACAAAAAATTTGGGACTTTAAGAGATTTACCTTAAGCCCCGAGGCATTGCTAAACCGGTTGAGTCAATCCATGATAATGGAGGCTTGATGAGAAGAGGCCTCCCCAAAGAGAAGTAAGTCATCCGCAAAGAATAAGTGGGACAAGCCAACACCCCCTTGCGTAATAAAAGTGGGTTTCCAAGACTTATTAGAGACAAGTCTCTGAATATCAAAAGCTAGCCTTTCCATCACAAGATTAAACATATAAGGGGCCATAGGGTCACCTTGGCGAAGGCCCCTTCCTGGAACGAAGGAACTAAGCCGGCCCGTTCCAAAGAATAGAAATCTCACTTTCTTTAAGGGAGAACAAGATGATATCAATAAGGTTACCTGGGAAACCGAACCCTTCCAGGGTGTCTTTGAGGAAATCCCAACTTACACTATCAAAGGCTTTATGTAGGTCCACCTTGACTACCATGAAGCCCTTCTTGCCACGTTTATGATTTAAAGTGTGAACAACTTCTTGAGTAAGAACCACATTATCCATAGTAGATCGACCAGGGAGAAAACTGTTTTGGTGGGGCCCAATTAACCTGCACATAATAGGTCTTAATCTATTAACGAGAGTTTTTGAAATTACCTTAAAGGCAATATTGAGGAGAGTGATTGGCCTGAAGTCCGCCGCCGTCTCTGGGATTTCCTTTTTGGGAATAAGAGTCATAAACGCCTGCAAAAGAGGTTTAGGAACTTCTCCCGTACTAAGAGCCTGATTGACCATATGCGTTAAAGTTTGGCCAATGTCATTCCAGAAAATTGGTAGAAGGCAGCTTGAATTCCGTCCGGCCCCGGACTACCGAATTTCTTCATGCCAAAGACGGCCCTTTTTACCTCGTCCAAGGTGGTTGTACGACACAAATTATGGGATTCCGACCAGGAGATAGTATTACTAGTGCTGATCGGGGTGAAATCCGGGAGATCCACTGTGCCAGACCTGGAAAACAGAGAAGAGAAAAAACCAGAAATATGATCCATTGGAGAAATCGGGTTGTCCGTCCACTCACCATGGATTTTTAGAAACCTGGCCCGATTTTTGTTCCTTCTAATCAATCAGCAGAAATAATATCACAAAATATGGCTAAAATAATTATATTTGGTAGGAAAAAAATGTAATTAGTTTTTGATGAGTCAAAGTCTATTTTAGGGCTAGATTTTAAATCCCCAAAACATTAAATTTAGTAAGTTAGACACTCATTTTTTGTTCGCAACAAAATCGCTATGTAATGGAATTAGAGGTAGTTTATCACAACAAGACTTTAGTGTTGATATCAAAGTGAAGTCACCAACATCAAACCAGCACCGAGCTGAGCTAACTGCCAGTTTGACCAATAGTTATGTTGTGCAACCGAATGCACCATGCGCATGGTGCATACGATGCAAAACGGCGTCGTTTTGACTAAAAACGCGCATCCCACTTAAAAAAAAAAAATTCAGGTTTGATTCTCGACAATAGTATTATTGTGGATATATAGTTATGAATTTCTGGATATTTAGTTCATTCATTGTGGATATTTAGTTCATTCATTGTAGATATTTACTTCATTCATTCACTGTGGATATATAGTTATGAATTTGTGGATATATAGTTATGAATTTATGAATATTTAGTTCATTCATTGTGGATATTTAGTTTATTCATTGTGGATTTTTACTTCATTCATTCACTGTGGATATATAGCTATGAATTTGTGGATATATAGTTATGAATTTATGGATATATAGTTATGAATTTATAGATATATAAAAATGCTATTGTCGGGAATCGAACCTGATTTCTTTTTTAAGTGGGACGCGCATTTTTTTAACCAAAACGACTTTATTCATTCACTGTGGATATATAGTTATGAATTTGTGGATATATAATTATGAATTTATGGATATATAAAAATGCTATTGCCGAGAATCGAACGTGATTTCTTTTTTAAGTGGAACGCGCGTGTTTTTAACCAAAACGACGTCGTTTTGTGTCATATATACCATGCGCATAGTGCATTCGGTTGCATAGCATAATCTGCGCAGTTTGACATTTCCCATGTTTAAGGAAAGTTAAAAACTTTCGCAGCAAATACTTGAGCCTTTTCAAAAAAGTTTAAATTACTAAAACTCTACACATGCAAATGAAGCCTAAAAAACTTAAGCCCAATTACTCTATAAAAGTATAATTTTAAATCATAAAAGTTAGCCCAAATTTAATACAAACCCATGATACAGAACCAACACAAAATTAACAAAAACAAAACACTTGCTAGCAAACCAGGACATTGCCCCAGCTTCCACACCCTGTCTTCAACCACCCCATCATTATTAGATGGATCATGGTTCATACAACTCTATGTATAGACCATAAATAAAAAAAAATACATTTTTAATATACTAAAAGTATTAGAAATTTATATAGTAATGGAGATTAATGGTTCAGATGAACTACCATGAAAAGCTTAAATAATATTTGGAGTTGTGGAGTTATAAATATTATTTCAGTTTGGTAGAAAATAAGTTGGGAAAATTGATTTGGAATCGAAGCTTATTGATTCGTTGGTGTTAACGAATCGTTTGTTTTAACGAATCAATGATTTCGGTAAAGGCTTAACGAAAGTTTGATTTCGTGCTTTGCCTGGACGTGTGAAATGAATTAACGAAAGTTGATTGCCCTATTGTTGATTTCGTTGGTTAAAGCCAAATGGTTTCGTTGGTTAAAACGAAATGTTTTAGTCCTAAACAATGAGGTTCACGAATCTATGCATGAAATGGTTTGCACCTTTCGGCCAAGTGTTTTTGACGAAACCTTATTTTCAAAAGCTTTTGGTTTGTGT